TAAGGTGGAGACTTGCTAATAAGATGGTGGCACAGAGAAATTTTATGACTTGCCCAGAACAAGTGGCAGAATTGAGATTTAAGATGTCTTCCTCAGATCATTACTTAATCATTACACTATACATTTTCTTTTCTCCACAAAATGCTGAACACCTGCACGTGTAAATGAATTTTCCTCATTTTATCTGGCTATCTTATCGTGTAGCTTAACTTCCTAAACTCTACCATTGTACAACCTTGGCTGCCTGTTGAAGTCACCTGAGAAATTTGTTGAACCCCAGTGGGGCCTGAGTGCCACCCACAGAGATGCTCATTTGTAATTGGCCTGGGCTTTTGGATTTTTCAAAGTATCCAGGAAATTCTAACATGTAGCCAAAGCTGAAAACACTACTCCATTGTTAGTGAATTAAGCCTTTAGTCAACTAAATTCAATTATGAGCTACTTCCTACTTTTGTTCAAACAAGATTTTATGTTCAAGTGAACTTTTGACTTATCAGCTGCAGCTGAAGTATAACAGCCCCTGGGTCCTAGGAAATGGAGCTCTTAGTTTAATTAGCATGATTTAAAGAAAAAAAAATTAACTGCAAACCTTCCAAGTTTAAAGATTTACACAAATTTACCATTAAACATATTTTTAAATTATTTCAATCCATGTTTATGAGCCAGAAGATTTTTCTTAATTTTCTCTTCTTTTAGTCATGTCCTTCAGTTACTGGTATCTATATAAAAGGACCTCACAGATAAATACGATCTGCCATCCAGTACAAAGTTTCTTTGGGTGAAAATATAAATATCCAAGTAGCTGAAAATGAATTTACATTTTATGAACCTACTGATGAAATAGGCTTTTCCTGTTTGCTTTGTCTAAAATGCCTTTCTCGAGGAGACTATCTAGCTGCAGCTGCTACCTGAGACTATTTGCTATTAGGTGTGTAAATGTGTATATTATTATTCACATGCAGAAATCTTCCAAATTAAAAAGGCAGTAATCTAATCTTTGTGCTTCCGCTGTAAGTTGAATTATGTGGCAGTTTAGCCATCTTAACTGTGGAGCAAATCACTCAATGACTGATTTCACCACAGCAGTCAGATTCAGTCACAATAGAGGTCAACTTGAACGGACAACCATTGTCCAGTCCTCTGAATCACCTGTGTTAGGCAACGTAAACCAGCAAAAACAATATAATAGGATAGTAAAGAAAGAATGACAGCACCAGAAGTGTTTAGGTATGTTTCCAAAGTAATTGCAAAACACAATTTAAAATGATCAGATATGTTGATTGTGCATTACCATTGCTCAAACTGTGCATTGCTGTGTGGCGGCCCTTCTTTAATACAGTTTTTGGGTTTTTTTTTTTTTTTTTTTTAGAATGCTCTAAGGTTCATTGACAAGGGCAGCTATCGAGAGATCTGGGAGAATGACTGGCTCAAAAAAGAGGTAAGTGGAATTTTTAAAAACAAAAGCAATTTCTTCTTTCTCATTTTTTTGAACTGGGAACAACTTTTATTTGTGAGCTGAAGTCACAGGAAAAGCATGGAGCTGTGACTGACTGAGATAAAATGAAATTCAAGTGGATTCCTCATCTTGTTACAAGCTGTTGCTCAATGAACACCATAAATGCGCCATAAAAGCACTGGTGCTGCAGAGGATGTACAAACTCACTATTTTGAAATTCCTTTCTATCCAGACAGGAAGCCACCCGAGCTATACTTTGATGCCATCTATGAAGAAAACTCACTACCTTTTAAAAATTTTTTTTGAAGTGTAATTAATGTACAATATTATACTAGTTTCAGGTATACATAGTGATTCGCTATTTTTTTTGTATTACAAAATCATAACCACAATAAGTCTAGTTACCATCACCTACAAAGTTTTTACAGTATTATTGACTGTCTTCCCTACGCTGTACATCACCTTGACTTCTTTATCACTGCAACTTTGTACCTCTTACTAATACCCCTCACCTATTTCACTCATCGCCCCACCCACTCCCTCTGGCAGCCACCAGTTTGTTCTCTGTGCTTATGAGCCTGTTTCTGTTTTGAAAGACTCACTACGTTTTGAGAAGATTCACTTCTACATGGATGTCCCAAAGGCACTTCAAACTCAACATACCTGAAGCATAATTCGTTAAATTTTTTCTTAGATATTTCTTTTCCTGCATTTGTTTTTTCACCATCTTCTCAGACACCCGAGGTAAAAATGTCACCCTCAGCCTCTTTTCCATTTTCCTTGTCCCTGTTAGACTGAATAGAGCTGATGAGTCTAGGAAACAAAAGAATTTAAAAATTAATATGCTTTCTATGTTATTGTCAATTATCTTGAGATTGCCTTTATAAAGTTCATACTATTTCCCAAACTAATCAAGATAAATCCTCAATTTTTAAACATAAATATTAATTTTAAAACCTCAAGATGAGCTCATTAGTTAATATTAGGGAGGAATTTAGTTCCTACTGTTTTAAATTCAACAGTATGATCCTAGTGACAATAATTTAATAATTCAAATCTTAAATTTTATAAGCTATCATAGGTTTTAGGTTCAGAGAAAATGACTACAAGAATTTGTATTTGACTGATAGGAAAGGCTGTTTGGTGCCTTGGTCCTTTCTACTAAAGCCACAAGTTACACTTCGTTTTATTTTTTACTTCTCATAATTCAGTGGAAATAAAAGACAGAAAAAATGTTACGTTTAATTGAATCATGAGCTGAAAGAGCTTACTAATAAAGAACAAGCCATTTTAAGGAAGTTCAATATATTTAATTTCTCTTTATTTCAATAAATATTCATTTTACTATTAAATTTACTCACAAAATTAATTAAAACCATTTGTGCTTATAAGGACTATCCCAAGAATTGAAAATTGCCTGGAAATAGAACAATGCATGTCAATTTAATTTCTTTGAGGAAGGTTTAGAATGAGTAACAAGGGATATTTAATAATGGAACTCCTGAAAATATTTCTCTGTTAAATGATCTTTCAACAATAACCAAAAACTTAGATCTCTGGGAAGGATATGTGATATCCTATTGCATGGTTTTTATTATCTGCTTTTATTTAGCCTTCTTACTAGAAAAACTAAGAAAATCCAATTTTCCAAATAACCTACACTAACTTAACAAACGGAAAGCCAGGAAAACTAGACAAAGGAGTTCAAAAAGTTAGTAATTAGAGTTTTAAATGTGAGGAGGCATAAAGCTAACTTGGATCTTGCAGGGAAATTTTCAAGAGCAACATTTTATTCAGGATCCTAGGTCTCTGATTTATAATAGTTTTAACTAAATTATCTTGGATTCCAAGTTCTTAAGTACATTTCTTGGGTATTTGGGGAGAAGCAGGGATGAGGAGGGAAAAGTGGTCTTCTGTTTCCTCCTTTTCACTTTCTTACCCCAGAAGTCCATTTATATGGCCATAAAAAGGAACTACTTTTCATTTCCTTAACATTTCAAAAGGCTGGGAGGGAGCTAGAAATTGATGAGAACCCGACTTAGTACTCTAAAGGGGGTGAGTGATATCACAGAGTATTTGTAGCTTGAAAGGTTAGCCTTAACTCCCCAAAAGGGCCCTCATTCCCAGCTTTGGCAGGAGACCAAGAACTGTGTGTCCTGCCTCCCAAGTATGCCAAGCCCTTAGGTCAAACATTTCCAAACATTCTATTAATTCCTTCTGTTTACAACATCCAACTATAATTTCTTTCTCATCCTTTGACATTTGGAAATTATAAACTTTTCCTTAAGGCATTTGGGCTTGTAATCAAGCTGATCATCTCTTAAAATATGAGATCCTAAAGCACCAACTCCTAACTTAGCCATGTAGTGGGACAGACATAAAAGTTTTGCAAAATGTGTGTTAGGCTGGTAAATAGTATATGCTTTTCTTTCCATCTCCAAGCCACTCCCCAGTACTTGAGCCTTTTCTGTGACACTGGCATGGTTTTATATTATAATCATTTGTATATTTGTTCACTGGATTGTAAACTGTTTTGAGGGAAGGAGCCATGTCTTATTCACTTTGTATCCTTCTGTGTCTAGCACAGAACCTTTCCCATAGTAAGAACTCAAGCATTTAATTAATGACTTATGTGATAGAAATATGCATGTAGTAATATACTGAATGCTTCCAGATTCCAAAATACAATAATTTCAACTGCAAATCAAAACTGTTAGTCATCTCTAAGTACTCATCTCAGTTACTCTTGGCAACTCCTAACAAGAGATACTCAATCTAAACCCCGCTGCCTTTCTTACTTCATCATATTCCCTCGAGACACATGACTTTTTCCAGTTTATCTTTCTATTATTCTCATCAGTCTATCACCTTCTATTTTATACTCTTATTTCTAATTCTTCTGTTGTCCTGACTTCTCCCCATGGGCACCTCTCAATCCAGCACCTGTGTAGCTCATGCTGTTTTGGGGGCAGAGAGATAAGTTGGAGGTTCTGTCTACTAGCATTCTTCTATATATCCTTCCCACAATCAAGCCTTCTTTAGACAAAAGTTATCAAAATACAATTCTTAAAGACTGATGGGAACTCCATCAACAGAACCAGCAAATTTTGTTCCTATTTGAGTTAGCCATATTTCATAATAAAGACTAATTAAGCCTGCTATGTGTGTGAATGACCTTTCAGCACTCAAAGAACATATAACTGTATTACAGAGGCTGATAGAAAGGGCTACTAGGTCTGTACTTCTTTTTTATTTTTATTTTTGCATAGTTGATGTGTTCCAGGTGTTCAGCAAAGTGATTTGATTATGCATATATATATGTATATATCTATATTTTTATTCTTTCCCATTATAGTTTATTGTAAGATATTGAATATTGTTCCCTGTGCTATTCAGTAAATCCTTGTTTTTTATCTATTTTATGTATGGTAGTGTGCATCTGTTAATCCCCTACTCCCAGTTTATCCCTGCCCATCCTTGTATTTCTCTTTTTTAAATGCCATAATATAGATTTTTTCCCCAGTGTTATTAGTTTTCATTGTGTTGTTTATAATTAACCTTAGATAGAATCTCATTTAGCTACTAACATAGTATTAATAAATCAATTAGTCTTATTTTCTTATTTATCTCTGCCTCTAGCTCATATAAGTCCAGTGATGTTTTTAAAGAGTAGAGAAGCACAACTCCTACCATTCAGTAGTAACTGCCTGCCTACTCATGCAGCCAAGTTTTGCAAATGACTGGGAAAAAAGTCCCACCTGTTCCTTCTTAGAGAGAAAGGACAAAGCAAA